TGGTGTATAAAGCTATGAGTCATGCTTATTGTGTGAGGGCTGAAGTTACTGCTCAGATTCCCAGGCAGAAGTGACTCGACCAGTCGACCCGTCGGTTGAAAGTTGACTGCTTAAGCTAGTGAGTCAAATCTCCGTTTCAGGCTACCTGACCGAAAACATACAGAAATTCACTCGACAATTAGCTAAAATTAGTTGAAATTATTTTATCACTTGTAGCTGTCTTTCAAGATATCATTATTATTAACTTAGAATCTAAATGGAACGAAGGGCTTCAGCAACATGTCGCCACTTTATCCTGTATCCTGTAGTCCACCTTAGCTGGCTCCACAATGACCCATAGACCCTTATCTCCTCCTCATACGATCTACACCACGTCATCCTTGGACCCTAGCCTAATTCGACGTTCTCTTTTACCGTTTTACTCGAGGGCCGGTCTGAAGAGCGATGTCACTCAACGGTCTTCGCAGCGTGTGTCTAATCCAACTCCATTTACTCTGGCATAATTTTTGAGTAATAAGTTGGTGGTTGGTTCATTCCACTTCCAAAGTTTCCTTGAGCTAATCCTTTTCGACCATCTGATCTTTAGTAAGAAGCCAGCTGTTAATAAAAGTCAGCGGCCGGCTGTTGGAAATGCCTTTCTTGACACTCCAAGTTTCTGACGCGTATAGAAGAACTGACAAGACTTTAACGATGAAAATACAAGTTTTGTTCTTTATCCTTACTGTATGATATTTCCACACTGATTTCAGGGTAATGAAGATCTGTCTTGAATTCCAAATTCTGGTTTTGACATTCTCATTCTTGCCTCTGCCTGTAGTTGAAGCGGTGCTGTCTACATAAACGAAAGAAAGGATTTTCTTAAAGCTTCCCATGTTAATACTGTTAGTTGTCCTCAACACACATGTCTTCTCCATGCTCCTTGAAATCATGTATACACTGCCATCCTCCTCTGCAACTTATTGGTTTTCGCCTGTAGATCTTCGAGCATGTGTGGCACTAAATATATATTGTCCAAAATTCAAATTCTATAGAATCAAGTCAGCCTAGAATATTTATGTCTTCTCGCTCATCACGCTTTTCCATATGATCTAGTCCACCAATTACTATTCTCTCGGATTCCGAGTTGAACATAGGGCTTCAACAACACATCCCCTTTGGGTTCTGTTTTCTGCTGTCCTCTTCAGTTGGGCCCACGATTGACCATAATCTCTCATCTCCTCCCCACACAACATCTTAAGAGTCACCTCAATACTGACAACCCACTCGTCGCTTCCCATTGGCATTCCACTCGAGCGATGGCCTTCATTGAGCGCGATGTCATTTGAAGGCCTCCCCAACCAGTGTATGCCCGATCCATCTCCATTTTCTCCTACATATTTATTGAACAATAGGTTCTTGGTTTCTTTGTTGTCAACGAAAGTTTCTTGTTGCTAATTCTTTCTGGCCGGCGGGCTGGCCATTTGGTCTTCATTAAGGAGCCAGCGAAGTGAGCTGCTGCTGATAGAAGTCTGCAGCAACCTGTTGAAAATGCTCTTCTTGACGCATTGAATGTGCAAGTTTCTGACCCATATAGAAGCACTATGTGACTGACTTGAAGTTTGTGTTGAAAATTCGAATCTTGTTGTTCGTGATGAGGCGGAGTGTAGAAGATTTCCAAACTGGATTCAGAGTAACGAAGGTATGTCTTGCTTTTCCAATTCTAGCAGGCTAGCTGACTATGACATCTTCATCCGTCCTGACTGCGTTCTGAAACGATGCTTCCCAGATTAGGGAAGAAAGTAACTTCTGTCAAGTCTATCCCGTTGATAGTGATTTGAGCTATTTGTTGTTGTTGTTGTTGGTTGATTATCTTCGTTACCTCTGCCTTCTCTATGTTCACCTGAAGTCCTATCTTCGAGTCCGTGTGATATTAGACGTAAATCATCCACGCACGAAATCTAGATCTTCTAGAGTAAGTTATCTATAACTGACTGTGTAATTTAAGTTTATAAAGTAACAAGAAGAAGTAAAGAAGTGAAAATCTACGAGTCTACTACAGTGAAATTGTTACTTCACTTAAATGATCATTCAATAATATTACCTTTCGGTTATCAGTACGAACCTAGAAAATTTTTGATGCTCACTAGCGACTGGCCCTATTCAGGCAATTAACCCGAGGTTATAGTGGGAAGCCATGACCAGTAGGGTACAACGGGTTGAAGGTGAGGCAGTAACTCATCGAACAAAATATTGATAAGTGATCACGCTATGTCATGAATTGGCAAAGGTTAGGATTCATGGGCTGGCTATTGCATCGGATTCCAGTGGCTTAATAGTCTACGACCTAATCTTGTAACCAGGAGGTCCTTGGTTCGAACCCCGATGGCTGCGTGTTGCTGAAGAGTCACAAACTAGGGTGAAACAGCTATCCAGTACTCCCTACTAGTTTTACAATGGTTATCTTACTGATTTCAGCTAATGCGCCGGCTGGGAATCGAACCCCGAACCACATGTGTGGTTGGCAAGCATTCTACTGTTACACCACCGACGCACTATTTTATACATATGGTATCACAATTAACAAAAATGGGAATCCTAATAACACAGGTTTACAAAATGGAGGCATATGAACATTCTAGTGAGGCTTAAGAATGAAGTAATAATAATATGTTAATTGTATTACACAGCGTGCTTACAGAATAAGAAACAATTGCGAGTTAAAGCGATTAGCAACATACATATTCTGTTTAGTGTGAGAAATAATGTGATCAGAAAATGTGTGAACACAGGATATTTAGCCATCGTTTGATCTCCTATTATTGCTTCAATGTTTACACCTTTAACCTCTTACCTTTGACGATCTATAAACAGGACCATTATAATAAAAATTTCAACGTTCGTTTATGAAACAAACAGATATCATGAGTACGAGATATGGTATTATCATACTTGATTAATAACACACAAAATGTAGTAAGCCTCATTCACACAAGATTATTTATCATTGCATACAGGTGAATCTTCTGAGTGTAGTTCGAACAGCATATAAATATACTCTTCACGATAAAGACAGAATTACAAAGCGAAATCTCTCTAGCGATTTTTTATTTCCATTTTTTGGAATTTGACGAACCCTGACCTTTTCATATATGGAACGCATTGCCTTTATTTGCTCTTATCGGCATAGTACTTTGGATATCTGATAATATTAAGAGAGTAGCTGTTTTATGAGTTACAGACAGTGACAGACTTTGAAGAAACTACAGTATTTTGACTTATAACTTTAAGCAATTCATTTTATACTACTTTATTTACATCTTTAAATGCTCTCAGGTGATATTATTAGTCTCTTCAGTAAGTATGCGAATTTATTTGCACACCAGAAGTCTTTTATGTATCAGGATGTGAGTCGGACTTATTGTGTGAGGGGCTGATGAAACTACCAAGTTGTACATTTTGAAGTAGGTGAAACGAGATTCAAACCCAGAACACACTATTTGTAAGTCAAACGCTTAAGTCAATGAGCCATTTATCTCTTAAGTTAGAGTGTGGAGCATAAACTAACCCCACAAAAACAATCTTGTTACAACTGAGAAATAGGAGACTAGAACTTTCATAAAATTATTTTATAGACTATGTGGGAATAAATACAAATAAACAAAGGGAGTTATGATGAAAAGAGCAAATCAGTGCAACTCCAAATAACGAATGGATCATAAGTTATCTATAAGTGACTATAATACGTTAAGTGCATAAAGTAACAAGAAGAAGTAGTAGGGAAGTGAAAATCTAGGAGTATGAGAGACATTTTATGTCATGATTACACACCCTTAAATTACACATACTTTGAACTTCTCAAATTTTAAGACAATACTCCATGGTCTGTTAGAAAAGGAGAGAAATTTTTCGATTACATTTTACGATGTAACACCAGTGAATTAGAAGTAAACAATCAACTTCGATTGAAATTTATTAGCGTTAAACCAATTTTTAGAGAGCTTATGATACTTATGACTTGACAAAAACTAAAATAGGATGAGAGTATAATGGCAAAAGGGTTCATTCTCTCCTTGCTTAAACTAAATAAAGAGAACCAGTTGTATGAAATTCTTGAAATGACGTCTGCCTGCGAAACTAATCAAGTTACGCTGCAGAATAGCGATAAAATTACCCAAGGAGTGTCTCGAAACAGATTAATTTCCACTTCAGTTCCTGTAGCTTATCGAACCGACCTAACTACCTCCAACCCTGAAGAATCTGAGTCATATCACCATATCGCATATCGACTCATCTTAGGAATATATCACCACCTTGATGAGGTCAGAATCTGTACATATTCGCGTTCTTTCTTTGTTCCAACTAAAATAAAGGGAGCCGGCTGTATGAGATAATTATTGTGTTTAAAAGTAGTCTATGTGACGCAAAAGATCATACTTCCGTTATGCGTATGCACCCCGAGATGAAAACAAAAGCAGGAAGTTACACTTAGGTGTTTTAAACAGCAATGTCATTTAAACCTACATCATCCGGTCATCTCACATCCTTGAATATCTTCCGCTTACAGAAGAAGTTTTACAAGGCTATAAGCCATTCAAAAATTAATGATGAGAATAAAAAGGACAATAATAATATTTGTCTTTATGTACAGTAATTATCAATGAGTTATAAAAAATGATCTATCGTCAGTACGCACCCACTGGGACGCGATCCGATGGTCCATGAATTCCAGCTCCTACCAATTCGTGATTTTTTTAATGGACCATTGAACCAGGTCCCAGTGGCTGAATGGTATACAAGCTTGCCTTGTTACCAGAAGGTCACGGGTTTGAAACCCAGTGGTTGCGTACTACCGATGAGTCTTAAAACTAAGGTGAAACAGCTGTCCAGTACTTCCTGTTTTTAAATGGTCCTCTAACTCATATCGATCCGTGGTCTAACCTGAAACAAACGAAATCCCCATGAACTAATTCTTGAAAATAATAATAATTTACTACTGATCAACTTGACCAAAAAAAACTTACCAATTTTCAGTGGAAATCCACTCGGTAGTTGTTTAGTAAGAAATTCTTTAAGTTTATGGAAGTAAGGATTATATTCTGACATTAAATCAATAATTGGTATGATTTGATCTTTTAATGATAAAGGATAATCCCGACATATCCATAGACGTGCTTTGAATGTCTTGACTTTAGTTGTCATCACTTTTGGTCGACCAATATCATAGAGAACACTTTGTGCACCAGGTGATGGACAAAAGTATTGTTGTGGTGTCACATGATTCGGATTGTAACTGGCTGCCTCCTGTAGAAACACATATAAACAAAATGATAGCAAAACAGCAAAATAAACAATATATAATGATGAAACTGTTTTGGCAATAAAAAAGGTAAACAAAAAGCAGTAAAATGATCAAAAGAATAAACTGACTGACTGGTTTCAACGTAGAACTTTACACACTTTAAGTTGCTAATCCTCCTCCTTGTAGCACACAAAGTAAGAGAGAGAGTAAAGAGAGATGATAAAATGAGGCAAAAAGAGTAGTAATATGGAAAAACAATAGAGTTTTATTCGATAATATAATAAACAAAGAGTAATCGCATCTGCGCCAGCCATTAAGAATGACTTTGAGCTATATCACTAATTGTCTCGAACCACTGGTTTTTCCATGGCTTAAATTAACTGTTATGGAATGCATTGATTGATGAAGCCATGTTTTGGTTTGGCTACCGCTAGCTAACTCTTTTCCAGATTGATCCTATGTCAGTCAGCTAACATTGTCCGTAGAGGAAGGCGATGGATAGGTATGCTTAATACATATCCTAACCATCTTAATCGGTGTAACTTCACAACCTCGTCAACTGATTTCCCCTCCCACCTTCCCCGCACTCAACCGATGTCTAACATCAATATACCTCACCTTATCATACCGATTCACATGTGACACACAACGCAGACACCTATGATCAAAGACAACCAGCATTTTCGTATCTTCCACTTTCAATGTGCATGTCTCATAGCGATAAAGGAGGACAGAGCGAAATTCTGAACACTACAGCTGCCGGATATCACGTCCACGCCAGAGATGGCGTAAGTTGGAGTGTGCAAAACGAGTCGTCGGTATCCCTGCTGAGATTTCTTCAGTGATCTACCCATTAAGGAAAACATTATCAGGGTGAGACGCATGCATATAGCACAAAGTCTTCTTCAAACCTTGCGCACAGCCATCGGGTTGCGTACTATCATACAAAGGCATTAAGTTAGTCAATTTTGAAGAAAGAAAGTGAAGAAGAGGCAAAAAAACTCGACTAACTGTTTGAAAGGAGAAAAGACTAATGAAGTGAAAAACACCAAATTCGAACTTCCTATACAGTGACAACTACGCAGCTGAAATCACGTGATATGGATACGAGATGAATTAGAAATAAAAAGGCCTGAAAATTTACGATTTGCAAATACGTTTTTGAATGGCTCAACCGTCACGTGAGAGAACAAACAGTAGGGAGTGTAATAACGCGTAGCGACAACGTACCAGCCAATGGGATTGATTGTCTTATATGGACCAGACACTTCATTCATGCCAATCCATTGTCTAATGGATTGCGCAATGTTAACTGAAATGAAGATTATGTCGCATTTGTCTAAAGATAATCATAAAAAATTTGACAACGGTCTACAAAATCTCATTTTTAGTGTGAGTTGTATAACTGATTATAGGAAACGAGTGGGGATTTAGCAAAACATTTGAAGTCTACGGAATATATCTGAAGACTGATCCCAGTGAACATGCATCAATTATATCTAAACCATAAAATCAGTCTGCCCTGTGGATCATACCGTTTTACATATCTTACATATTCTTCCCACATCTTTGCACTTAATCCATAAATGTGAATGGTAGTAACTTGAAAAGATTCATCATTTATTGTAACATTCAAAACGATACATTTTTGTTTACAAAAACTTGGCGATGTGAAATAAAACAATCTACAACCGAAAATATAAGGTGATGTAGTTAGAAATGAACAGCAAAGAACAATGAAACACCCAACTTGGAGTACGATATTCGGGGGTAGAATTAAATTATCTCTTAAACGTTGTAAACTGACGGTCACAAGTTCCATCCTTTATCAGATCATGTATGTATATGTTCTTGCTAAAGAATCCCTAAGTTGAAGGAAACAAATGTACATTGGCTTTTGATTTTCAGTGTTTCCCCCCACCCCCTGGTGAAATCTAACTCCCATAAATTCAGTGATTTGACTTGATTCATTCATATAAAATAGTTATAAATTAAAAACAATCCGGAAGCAATTTGATGGATCATGACTAACAATGTAGAGCCCTCGATGCATATTTCAACCTATTTTGGGCTCGTCATCTGGACGCATTTGCATTCCCTAGTGAATGATGGTGTTCCTACTGAGACTCGAACCCAGTACCGATCGTTTTCCACTAAACCATTTGGACGAAACTCGCATCTTGAATTCCACTGCTAGTCACTACCAACCAAATTATTTCAAATCAATCCTCAGATTGCGTCGAAGTGTCCTTACTAGGAGAGGGCATTTCGGCACAGGTTAATCAATGGGGAAATCAAAAGTGGCTTAAAAAGAAATAATAAAAATAATTCTCTGTATGCAGTAACATTCATTTCATTCATTTTTACTGAATGAATTGTACTCGAAATAACTACTCATTATTAAAGAAGATTTACCAGAGAAGGAACACGATGACATACGGTGACAGTTTCATTCTACAAATCAACCAACAAACGAAATAATATAAGGAGGTGCCACCATGTTATGTGGCTCGCCATCATGGTCCACTGTGAACTGTTGTTATTAGATGGTTGGAGGTAATCGGCAGGAAGCCTACAGGAGGTCAGTCGCTAGCCTGAATGGCTCAGTGGTAACGTCTCTGACTGCGGCAATGGGCGACGTGGGTATGAATCTCAGAAAGGGCATAAGTTCTTCCGAGGTTGCGGACATGCCTTGCTGATGAGTGCCAAATAGCCCGAAACCTAGGTTGGGGGCTTCCTGCCGATTGCCTCCAACCATCTAATACCAACAAGGTCAAGTAAACATTAATCATATGAGGTGCACTGTTATTTATTTTTACTTTTACTTCCTTCGTTGTATTCGAAAAAGAAGTAACTTGTTTATTTGTTTTTGGGAATCATTTAGTTAATAATTGTACAAAAACATGAAATGATCGATTAGACTGCATAGTCAGGCAGACTTGTATTTCAGTAAGTTGACCAACTCATATGAATGAACAGAACCTTTATATATTACAATATGAGTTTTACAATTTAATCACCTTAGTTTGTGAGTGTGAGTAGACTAGACGATTGTTGAAAGCAACTACTAATTTCACAGTCCTATTTTATTTACTCAGTAGAAATATTTTTAATAATTCCAATATCTATTGTGTTTATTTATATTCAAACATTTTTACTCTTAAGAAATTCTCTTTCTGTATTTAATATGTAAACAAATAGAGAGTTTTATCGACTGAACTACACGATTATTGCGGTAGTCATTTTGCTTATTTCTGTGATTCAGTTGTCTTTCAGTTCTTATTTGGAAGCAGTTAGAAGTAGAAGCAAGGACACGCTTTTCATCCTATTTACGAGTTGTTAGGCAGATAGACGTACTTGCACCCTAGTGACTAGATCCTACTTCTAGTCTAAGATAAGTAACTTTATGGTATTATTTTTGATAATATTGAGATCTTTATCAACCTCATTCAACAGTTATATGACAATGCCACATGTCAGGTGATCCACAACGGAAAACTCAGCGAAGCCTACCTTTGAAGTGAATCCACAAGTAGAACAAGGTTGCCTGCCTATTTATCACTGATGATATTCCTGAATGTGCTGGACGGGATCATGCGCTAAACTGTGGGTGAAAAGAAGACAGCAGTACGCTGTGCCACCGATAAGAAGACTGCAGAAGATCTGCATTTCACGTGTGGATGATTTATCTTTAATATCACATAGACTCGAAGACTTACAGGCAAAAATCAACAGACTGGTTTAAGAAGCCAGCAACGAAGACAGGACTCGAGGTGAACATAGAGAAGACATAGGTAACGAAGATAACCAACCAACAACAACAAACAGTACCACCACTGTCAATGGAAGAGATTTGATACAGTTCACTTCTTTCACTTATTTAGGTAGCATCGTTCCAACCACAGGCAGTCACAAAGGATGAAGATGTCAAAGTCAGCCAGAATCGGAAACGCAAGACACACTTTCATCAATCTGAAATCGATTTGGAACTCTTCTGCACTCCGACTCATCACGAACAACAAGATTCAGATTTTCAACACCAATGTTAAGTGAGTCAGTTCTTCTGAATGGGTCAGAAAACTGGCCTGAGCATGACGTAAAGGATTTCTAACAGGACATCTCACAGACTCTTATCAACAGCTACCACCTTCTCTGGCTCCCTTCTGAAGATCAAATAGCCAGTCTGTCGGCCAGAAAGAATCAGCAGCAAGAAACTATGGGAATAAAATAACCAGTAACCTGACGTTCAAGAAATACGCAGGAGAAAATTGAGATGGATTGGGCATAAGCTGAAAAGGCTTTTGAATAATATCGCACGCAATGCAAGCCATCGGTCAAGTGGAATCCGGATGGGAAACGACGTATGGGTCGTCTTAGGGTGACATGGTGTGGGTCGTGTGAGGAAGAGATGAGAGATCATAGTCAATCGTGGACCCAGCTGAATAGGACAGCACCAAATGCAGCAAAGTGGATATGTGTTGTTGAAGCCCTATGTTACATCCGGAATACAAGGGAATAATAATCTGATCAAGGGGCTAGTAATATACCGAAACCGAGGCTTATCAACTCGGTCCAAAATATGTATCAGCGGGAAAGCTAAAACATGAATAAATCCTCAGTGGTTAAGTAGTAGGATACCTGCCAAGCACATACGCCACCCGGGTTCGATTCTCAGCCAATCCACTTCAATAACTCGATTAACCGGTAGTAAGCTAAGCGAAGACGGAACAACAGCATGAGGCTAGTATCCCCACCCTGTATAAAAGCAACACTGCTACTGAAACTTCAAAGCTCAGGCTTGTAACCCTATATTCCGCTCGAGCCACAAAGGAATGGAAAATAAATCGTAGGTGTTGGAAATTTCCCCTGAACAATATGAGCACTGAGACTGTTTGAATTATTACAAAATTATTTGAAATAATCTCAACCTTTTTAGAAAATATTCAAAATATTTTAATTTGAAATAAAATCCAAGTAAGTGTGATGAAGAAACCAAAGTGAA